GAGTCAAGATGGACCTCCCAGCAGCCAGGGCAGAACTCTGAGGAGACTAAGCCCTAACTGAGACTGGCCTGCAGGTTCATTCAGGGGCCCATTTGTCCAAGGGGAATGACAGAAGAATTGATTTGAAAAATCTTTTCACCTTGATGTATCATTTTAGACATTTAGCTTATGGATATCATTTGTGCCCTGAGCTCAGGTCCTGCCCCTGTTAAAGATAAGCCTGTAACAAATGTAAAAAATCAGCTAAACTAAAAGATAAGAAAGAAAACAGAATATAGAAGTTTGGTAGTGGTGGTAACACGCCTTTAATCCCAGCACTCGGGAGGTAGAGGCAGGCAGATCTCTAGCTCCTAGATTTGTTTCTTTACTCCAGATAATAGCTTAGAACATGCAAAAATCCAGTATTTTTAGAAACTGGAAGCAAAGATTGAAGGGGGAAGGAAAAGAAAGAAATGGGGAGGAAGGGAGTGCCCTTCTCTGGTCTAGCTTCCTTTCCTTGGCCTTAATATTCTGCTCAAATGATTTTTTTTTGAAAAAAAAAAAAAACTCTTTGGGGCTAGAAATATAGCTCCAGTTGGTAGAATGCTTGCCTAATATGAACAAGGCTCTGGGTTCAATCCTCACCACTGCTTAAACTGGGTGTGGTGGGGTATGCCCCAGAGGTAAGGGCGGGAAGCTCAAAAATTCATGGTCTTCTTTGTTCACATAACTGGAAGGAAGGAAGGAAGGAAGGAAGGAAGGAAGGAAGGAAGGAAGGAAGGAAGGAAGGAAGGAAGGAAGGAAGGAAGGAAGGAAGGAAGGAAGGAAGGAGTGATAGAGGGAAAGGGAGAAGAGAAAAAGAAAAAGAAATTGAATGAAAAAAACAGTTTTATATGGGGAAAAGACAGTCTGAAGTGTCAGGGAAACCCAGTTACTTCCTCCTGTAAGTGTTCTAGCTCTGATGGACCGAGGGGCTTTGGAAAGCTGGCCCTGAAGCAAGTGGCTCCTGGGACCTCAGTGCTCTCCGCAGGCTCACACTCTCATGGAGCTCCAGCCCCCCCCCCCCCCCCCGCTTTGCACACCCATAGGCAGGAATCAGCCCGATCCTGGGTGTGCCACACACAACCTTCCCGTGATGGCTTTCTTTTATAAAAAAAAAAAAAAAAAAAAAAAGAAAATTTTTCTTCAGGTTAGCTATTTATGTAACTTCCTCTCTTCAAGTTTCACATTAGGCGTGTCTAGAGCGGGGGCTGACATCACGGGGTCTCTTCCAGATGTTGTTTGGAAATCGGTGTAACCATGGCACTGCTGGAAGCCCAGAAGCCCGTCTGAGCCAGCTGAGTCATGCCTGAGCACAGGAAGCTTCTGCTGAGGAGAAGCAGGGAGCCCAGCAGGGACCAGAACATCCCTGCTGGAAGGAAGTGGGTGGCCTGAGATGTTCTGAGGGTTCTCTATGGTACTGGGACCAGCTATGGCCTTTGACCTCCCTGAGCTGGCGTCTTTGATAAAAGGAGGGGCTCAAACAACCAAAACCTTCCTTTGCTCGCAACACATTCATGGTTCTTTAAGACTCACCTGTGCTCACTTAAAAGGAATCACATCCCCAATCTCCAGCCACAGAGTACCTCTCTCTCTTCTCTTGACTCAGGCCTGACTGAGCCATCAGGTCAGCCTAGCCTGTACCCTCTCATACTCCCAGCCTCTACTTAGCCCAGGATTCCTGTCACATCCACACTCCTCGTGGTCCAAACTTCCACCCTACTCACCTGGCCTCCCATCGTTATCTCCACTAGAATATCCCCTCTCCGAATTTACGTCTGCCCTGACCACAGTGGGAACTGCAATGGTCTGGTTGGCTCCACTAGCCTATAGCACCGTTAAAGCCACAACTCTTGTTAATGTTACTGAATTTATTAATTACTCAGTTACCCAGAAACCAAGTTTTCACCCCTGAAAAGAGGAATGATGGTATCTATCGAGCAGTTGCTACAGCCACAGAATCAGCACGGATGAACATTCTCTCTAGTCTTGACTTCTCAAATCCCATCTAAGGCGTGTTCCATCCAGTAGCATTCTCAGTTTCTAAGAGGAGGAAATTGAGGTGCAAGGAAGAAACATGAATTGCCCAGGGTCAGACATATAGTATGTGGGCAAGATCGATTCCAACCCAGACAATCAGAGCAGTGAGCCCACACCCCGACCTCATGCTGTTAGGGATGAGGCTATGGCTGCCTCCCTCCTAGGGTCTTGGGAGATGAAGGACGAGGAGATAAGAGTGGTGAACACAGCACAAAGATGAGCAAGGATAAGTGAGAAAGTTTTTTGTTGCTAGGATTTTTGGTTTCTTCCCGTTTCCCTCCCTTTTGCAGATACCTCGGCCTGGACAGGTACATCAGTGGGGCCTTGGACATGCCCATGTGTGCCTAGTGGACAAGACCCGAGCTCTCAAGCACCCTCTCCTCTATCTCTTCGCTTAAGCAATTTTTCTCTACATGGAATCCTTTCTAGCATCTTCTGCCTAAAAAGAACAAAACATGGTCCCTCATTCAGGGGACCAATCTGCTTTTCCTGATCTTACTCCAGCCCCTCCTCTTCCTCTCTCTCCTGCTGTCTCGCTCTCATACACACCCCTTCGCTGAGCTGCTGCTCTGGCCAGATGTGCAGCTGGAAGGGGACCCCTCTCATGGTGTCACACTTTGCGTCCCCCATCAACAAGCCCTTCAGCTTTACCTGGCCCACAGGAGTCCGTCCCTGCCCTGACTCTTCTCTGGGACCTTTCACTGCTACCTCAGTGTAACCCACATCATTGCTGGCATCCTGAGAAGGTCCCCCATCACCGGTTTGCCAGGCCCCTCAGTGCTCCTGTTAAAACAACCTCATCATGTCCCTTCCCTGCATCCCATCCTTATAATAAAGCTCCAAAGCTTTGCCACAGCCCTACTTAGGACCTTGGCCACTACCTTGGCTTCCTGTCCTGTTGTTCTCCCCTTTACTCTCTGCCTGTCCTGTTCTAGACTTCTTGATGCTCACAACATTCTTTCCTTCTTACTTACTTTTCTCTTCCCCCTTAGGCAAATTGTTGCGTATTCCAGGCTGAATCGAACGTACTATGTAGCCCAGGCTTGTCCTGACCCTGCAGCCATCCTCTTGAATCAGCCCCCTGAATACTCCTAGGATATTATTTTCTTTCCCTTGCTGCATGTGCTGCCCCTGGGAGGCTCTAGATGCAATGGTCACATGACTCGCTCCTCGATGCTGTTGAGATTCTTGATCGAGAGTCTGGTTGGTAGAGAAAGCTTTGGGATCGGGGCTCACAAACAGCACCTCATCACCACACCGCACACCCCTTACCCGGCTCAAGGTTTCTTCGTGGCCCCTCTACCAAATGCTGCATTATGCATTAAGTTTTGACATCTGCATCCCTTGGCCAGATGCAAGCCACACAACAACAATTCATCTCTCAGTGCCTGCTCCAGGTAGATACTCAGTCAATACTGCCCGGAGGAAGGAGAGCCAGCACCCCTCGAGACATGCTCCTCACTTCTCAGCTTCGTCTGCTGTCCCACACGCCTCTTAGGGTATTGCTTACCCTCTAAGCAGGCTCTCTATGGGCAGGATTTGGATCCCCACAGTGCCCAGCACATAGTAGGTACTGAGAAAATGCCTTGTGATTCAACAGGAAAGTCCACCCTGGGAGCTGGAGAGATCTCCAGATGATTTTGGAATCTCGCCTACCTGAGCTCTCTCACACTGTGATTAATAAACTTGACTCTTAGACTGGAGATGTAACTTGGCCAGTAAAGTGCTTACATGAGAACCTCTGGATTTGACCCCCAGCACTGCTGTGTGGTAGCACCCATCACAGGAGAGGCAGTGACAGGAGAACAAGAGCTTCATGTTCTTCCTCAGTGATACAGGAAATCTAAGGCCAGCCTGGGATGTATGAAACCCTGTCTCTAAACAAACCCTCAGGTGAGTAAATTTCTCCCCATTCCTGGCATGCCGAGAGCCTGGTCAGCTTTTACCTAAAGCCCATCAAGATGCTGGCTTTATCTTCTACTCCATAAGATGAGCTCAAGGCTCATCAGTGGGAGTTGCCCCAAACATGATGGTTCAGCCTGCTCTAGGCAAGACCTTAAGGATGCTGCTTGTGTCTAGACGTTGCTAAGACAACCGCCTCCATCTGCTCCATAGTGTGGTCTGATGCTACATATTAGAAAAGTACTCAAGAATGAGCTCCCTCCTGGTGGTCAGTATGTACAAAAGTACCAGACTTCACCAAGGCACCAGAATGCCTACTTTATCTGCTGCTGGATCACAAGACTGCCTCAGGGTCCTGGCAACAGACTATGAGAGAAACCCCTTGGGTTCTGCCCATCTTGCATGGGCAGTGCTGACTCCAGGTCCAGAATTCTTTGGACCCTTGAGAAGTCCCTCCTCCCATAGATGGCACAAAAGCAAATTCATGGCACTTCTTAGCGAACAATCACAGCACATCATTAGCCTGGGTGCCCCATACCCCACAATTTCTATCACACGAGGACAGCCATCTAACCGGGATAACATTCTCAAGCCCCAAACACTTAACATTGGAATTGACTGAAGGGACCTGGAAAGTACTCACAGCTGTGTTGGGGAAGCTACCTTTCCATCCCATGCTTCTTAGCTGCTTTCCCGAGGCCTCTCCTGTGTCCTGGTAACCTGGTACCCTTCATCCTCAGAGATGATGAAGGGTAGCTATATTTTGACCTGCTTACACTTTGTCCAGGGCTCAGTCTATCTCCAACTGACACCACCTCTCACCAACTATCTCAGAGAAGAGTATTGGCTGTACCTGATTCACCAGCAAGTCTACTGCTTTGAGCTTTAAAAGGCCCTGTCTCAACATTTCCCTTGTTGCTGTCCAAAATGAGAACTCCTTGATTTTCTAACTTTTGCGTAAATGGATTCAAAGATTATGATCACTTATGGCATCAGACAACAACTATGGGCCCTGCCGGAGATACAGATTGTGGCCATACCTTCATGAAGAACATCTTCCTGCAGTGTTTGCCGCGATCACTCCCAGCTGTTTGGAGTTGTGGAGCCTCTGATGCCAGCGCCAGATCTGGAATGTTGCTGAGCCCGGCCTCCGATGTGTCTGCCAGCTGCATGGAGGAGTGAAGGAACTCCTTGCCCTGGCACAGTGAAGTCTCAAAAGGGTCAGGGTACTTCTCATCAGGGCTAGAGCTGTCATCACTGGTCTTGGCATTGCAGAGGATCAGAGAACGGGAAATGGAGCGAAATTTTGTGGATTTCCGGCTCTTTCCGGAGTGGCCGTGGGGCTCCATCCTTAGAGAGGAAGCGAGGCCACGCTTCTTCCTCTCCTGTTCTCCAGGCCGGTGAGTGGCAGCAGAACTGGACTTAGCCGCCCCTGCATGAGTCCCTGGAGGAAAGAAGAAATGGGAAGAAGTCCTGTGACATGCTGCTGGCTCAAGTCCTGGAACTGAGCCGCGCGGGTGCCCACGAAGCAGAGCCGAGGAGTCCCTGGACCCAGCCGGTCTGCAGCGTTATCTAATGGAGCCATGTCCCAGGCTCAAAGAGACCAAACCTAAACTCTTTATCCAAACCTTCATCCTACAGACAGGGAAACTGAGGAACAGAGGAAGATAAATTTAAATCCAAGATGCTAGCAAAAGACCTAAGAATCAGGTTTGGGAAAAGGCTTGGGAATTAAATTGCTCCCCAGGACCATGACTTTGCAAGGCTTTCAAACGTAGAAGCTAATCTTCAAATGAAACTCTAGTCTGTAGAGCAGAGCAAGGAGAAGGTCAAGGAGGATGGAACCCACTGCCCTGGGCCCCTTGTACTCCTTAGTATCTCTTACAGTGTCTCCAAAGGAACCCGAGAGCCCAGGACTCAGCCTGTGATCACTGGTGTATTCCAATACCAGGTGTAGTTGAACGTTTTTCTTGTCCCTCTGAATCCTCCCCTCGCCAGTTTCTTTCCCTTCCGTGGTCCCCAAAACCACTTATGAAATAACACTCCGAGGCTTAATATCAATGACAATTGTTTGGTCAATAGCTCAGGCATAATACTGACTAGCTCTCACAATTAAATCAACCCATTTCTATTAATCTACGTATTGTCACCAGGCTGTGGCTTCTGGGTGATGCTCCGGCATGTTACACTTTTGGCGGCTACATGGTGTCTCCTCTACTTCATCTTCCTTCTCTCTGCATCTTTGCTTGGATTTCCCACCTAGCTACATTTTTTTCCTGACCATTGGCTGAAACAGCTTTATTTGTCAACCAATAAAAGCAACACATATACAGAAGGACCTCCCACATCATCCCTCCCTTTTCTATCTAATTAAAAAGGAAGGTTTTAACTTTAACATGGTAAAATTACATAGAACAAAACAGTTTTCAAGCAAGATTTATAGTTAGAACATTTAGTCATTTGTATTAGGCAAAAGTAAAGAAAATACACTATCACCTACCCTGTCTTTGAGTGTCTAAGGTTTTATATCAAAATTATCTTTTATTGCAGCTAAGGAAAACTGTAACATAACTGCCTTCAACTCCATCAAAGACCCCAGAAGGATATAATATTACCTAAGTAAACAGTAAATGCATTGCAAGCAACTTCCAAAACTCTAGAATTGACAGAGACATCTCACAGCCTGTACAGTCACCCACGTTCTTTTGCAACATTGGGGCATCCATCTTCAGCCTACAGGCTTAGAGTATCTGGCAGACTTTTCAGTGAAGCAGGGAATTTGAAGATCTGTTCTGCCTTGTACTGGCAAAGTTCATCAGTTGCTTTCTTCTGTGTCCTGCAGAATGTCTGGCAGTTTCTTCTGCGGAGCAGGAACCCTGAAGGAGCATCCCATCTTTTGGCAAGTTTAGTAGTTACTTCTCTGTGGGTTCTGCATGTCCACTTCATACAGCATACCTAATCAAACAGTCCAGGCAAGAGCATTTTCTTGCGCAAATGGCTAACCGTGTCACACTGAAGGCAAATTCCATAATGAGTTTATTTGATGCCCATAACCTCTCTGAAGTAATTGGTGCTGCCAGAAGCAGACATGTCTCACTGTCAAGAAAAGTCTAAGTTCTTAAAACATTTTAAATGTCATATTCCGTAGGCCTTTGAAGTGTTGAAGATATCTACTTAACTGAAATATATCTCTGTGTATCTAGAAAACCAAACATGACTAACTAAAAGTTTGATTATTATAGATGACTTTCTATTAATCTGTATTTCCTAATTATACATTACATTTTTAAATAAGCTGCATAAACACAATACCTTAAATTTTTATCAATAAACTGAAATCCATACCAATATAAAGTATTCATTTCTATAACAACCAGGGGAAGATCTGAAGACTGGGGTCTTCTAAAGGCCAGTTCCCTGCGGCTGGGGTGAATGCAGAAGGTTCAGTGCACAGCTGGTTCCTGAAAGCACATGTGCCCTCCCTCAGGCCCAAGGTTACACCCTGACCAATGTGACACATAGGGCTCTGAGTTCCTACTCCGTCAGCCGTCCCCGCTGGTTCATTCTCCCAGCCTCCTGACCCGAGACTGGCTCCCCTACCAGGCCCACAGGCCGGCACAGGATTGCCACGAGCCACCTCCCTTGAATTCGGTGTCCACGAGATAGGTGGCAGAGTGGCCTAATGCTGTAGCCAGACAAGTTCTGACTCGGGTCCAAGCCACAAAATAAAGCCTGTTGCCAGAACAACAAACTGTGGGATGCTCTTGGCAACCCATCCCGGTGTTTGTGCACAGGCAGGATGGGATCAGGAGATGCGCAGAGCTTCCAGCGTTTCACCACAGAGAAGTCTTTATGTGTGCCCCAAAGGAGAATGCCTTCTTAGGATGCTGTCTGAAATCCTTGGCTTGTGCGTGTGCGTGCACACGCGCGCACGCGCGCGCACACACACACACACACACACACACACACACACACACACCAGAGATCAATATCTTCTCATGTCTTCTTCTATCGTTCTCCACCTGTTGTTCATGATGGGCTCTCCCACTGAACCCAGAGCTCACCTACTTGGCTAGGCTCCCTAGCCAGTGAACCCCAGTGTCCTGTTACACCTGTCTTCACAGCACTCGATTACAGGTGAACACTACTGCACCCATATTTTAACCTGGGTGACAGAGATCTAAATTCAGGGCCTTTCCTGACTGACTCAGCCTCAGCCCACATTGCTTTCTGTATTAATAATTAGATGGATAACTATTTGCAGTGCTATTATATTTGTATTTGAATGGATGGAGCTTGTCTGAAGATCAGAGTGCAAAGCTAAGCCGCTAGAGGCCAGGGAGTGGTGGTACACACCTTTAATCCCAAGACTCGGAGTTGGGGGCAGACAGATCTCTGTGAGTTCAAGGCCACCCTGGGCTACACAAAATTGACCCAGAAACAGATCCAGGTGGTGGTGCTCATGCCTTTAACCCCAGCACTAGGGAGGGGGAGACAGGAACAATATGGCTGGGCAGAGAGAGGAATACAAAGGGGAAGAGACAGGAACTCACTGGAGTGTGGAGTCAGGTTTGGTGGGGACACAGCTGCAGCGTAGTTTAGGCAGTCTGAGGATCGTCTCTTCAGTCTGGGCATTGGTAGAGGTAAAAGGTTTCTCTGGTGACTTACCGTCCTGCTTCTCTGATTCAGCTTTAAGCCCTATGTCTAACTCTGGGTTTTGATTCATTAAAACCAACTAGAATTTGTGCTGCAACTACTTGGCAGCTGTCTGTGCATCAGGCACTGCGCTGAATGTTTTAGTGGAAATTGGCTCAGAAGAGGCAGAGCCCAGTGCATCTCTGTGAGTTCAAAGCCAGCCTGGTCTACAAGAGCTAGTTCCAGGGCAGGCTCCAAAGTTAGAGAAACCCTGTCTTGACAGAAACCAAAAAAAGAAAAAGAAAAAAGAAAGAAAAGAAAAGAAATTAACTCAGAAGATGACAAGAGTGAGTAAGGGCACTTGCCACCAAGCATGAATACCTGAGTTTGATACTCAGGGCCCACATGATAGAAGGAGAGAAACAACCTCTGCAAGTTGTTCTCTGACCTCCAAACATGTGCCATGGCAATAGAGTATACACACACACACACACACACACACACACACACACACAAACACACACACATTAAATGTTAAAAAAAAAAAACAGCAAGCAAAAAAGCACCATTGGCTCTTGGGCCAACAAGAGGAGGTGTCTCGGCAAATGAAGATGCTTGACACCAGGCCTGAGGACCTAGCTCTGACTGCTGGAACCCACACAGAAGAAGACTGACTCTTCCAAGCTGTCCCCTGACCTTTAAACGCCACACATGTAGTGTGGTGTATCTCTTTGTAATCATGCATATGCACATACTAAATAAAAAGAGAAATATTACAGAAAAGAACGTAACTCGGCATTAGCCATTTCATAAGGCAACCCTTGCCAATATCCCAAAGCCTTGTGTTCTCCATCCTTCTAGCTCATGCGGATTCCAGCCAGAGTGGAGCAAGCATGCAGTGACAACGGAGCTGGGTTGCAGGACTTTGAGCCCTGCTGGCCACACTCATGGGCAGACTGGTTCAAGGAAACCTTTATGGCCACTAACTGGCTTCCAGTGCTGGCCAGTGAACATGCTGTTTCCATATAACATACATCACTCACTCAGGGACCACTACTTCAGAATGTCACCTCAGTGTGCCAGGCAGTGTTTAACCGCTTTACCATGTGGTCCTCAGAAAAGGGCTTGTGGGCTCTGATACTGCCCTCGTGTTACAGAAAGATGGTCAAAGCATGGGGCAGTGAACTATGCAGCATGGCTATGCAGTATGGCTGGAGCCTGCACCTCCGAGCTGTCTCCTCAGGGCCCCCATTGCTGCCTTCTTGCCTTCACCCAGTGTCTCAGCTGCATGGGGTCTCAACGACCAGCGTGTGAAACACACACAACCCTCTTCTTTCCTTAAATCATGTGGTAGACCAGGCACAGTGGTGCCTGTAATCCCAGCATCCCGAAGGTAGAAGCAGGAGGATCAGGAGTTCAAGGCCATCCTGGCATAGACAAGACCCTATCTTGAAGGACAAAATAAATCTGGCTCCTGTCACCCCATCCTGGCACCCTTGAATAAACACTCTGTGCTCTGTTCTCTCTCTCTCTCTCTCTCTCTCTCTCTCTCTCTCTCTCTCTCTCTCAACTCACCACTGCTTCCAGATCCGGCACTGGGGTTTGCTTCCTTCCCCTAAAGCCATGGAAACTTCTGTATCAGTTCCATGCTGATGTGTCCAGAGAGAGCCTCAGTCACAAAGTCCAGAGGCTACAAACCGATCCGCTGAAACTTGCTTTGTCTGGAGAGGATTGCTCAGTGTCTGTTGGCGGTCTTTGAGTTCTCCTGCTGGTTGTTTCTTTTCCAGATATCCCCTTTCAAATCCAAAC